TATCGCAATTAGACTGTAGCTCGCGAATTTCCAGGTCACTCACCTATCGGTATTTTTTCTGGGGACACCGAGGGCATTAGGACGAGTAGCAGTATCATGATAGACGCGTTCGTTGCCTTGATGTAGGACAATCTGGAGATGGCAGTCATCCTTGGTACGTGAAAAAGGAAGTGACGGCGCCGCGACGGCGGTCCACCCGTTTCACGACGCGGGAGCATCTTCCGCGCTCCGTAGCTTGACACAAACTGGCGTTCGCCACTTGGCGTGAACTCCGTCTCGCTTGAACCGCCCCAGCTTCCCCACTGCCGAGTTTCAATCCCCCTCTGAGCAACCCTCGCGCACCCTTTCCCAGCAACCCCATCTACCTCCCCCAAGGCTCGCCATCTACCCCAGGCCCCAGCCCCGTCGGGCAGAGAGGCGTACGGTTAACGCGCATGTGACGTCACGAGGCGCGCGCGATCTTTCGGGGGATGCTGCCGTTTCTGCTGGACCGAAAATATCCACTATAGCAGTAGTTGCTGGACCATCTATACGAGTGAGCGCGATTGCTGCGTCCTACGTTTTACGGTTTAACTATACTCGACGTTAGAGGGAGGGGCCCGACTGGTCGTCCTGGAATTTTAAGGCTCTAGTCAGGATCCTGCGGAATGCTTTTAAGGATAGCTTTCCAAGATGTATTGGGGATGTTAAGACGTGGGATATTCACCCACCCGTTCGATGTTAAGGGAATGTTTATACGAGGATGTATCTTCGATGTGGTCCAGTTGCAATTTCTGTCTGAGATATATTGCCAGTAGGGTTCTTAAGGCAATGGGTCACGAGACATTTATATAGGGTGACTTAAAGTCTGGCGAACGAACAATCATCGGCAAATAATAGCGGTGACGCCAAATGGATATCTTCGTTGAAAGCAGTATCGAGGTTATAACAGTATTAAAAGCATATCATTTTTTTTAAATTAACGAATAGAGCATGCATGGGATTAGGTACTACCCTGTAATCCTATCCACGAAAAATACACTGTGTATGACGTAAAATTTGTATTTCATTCAAACACTACTATATACGCAAAAGCCATTGTCGTTAACACCCGGCTATCTGCAGTGCGGGGAAACTCCTATTTTTTTTTTTTTTTTTTTTTTTTGAGAATTCGGACTTACTCCCTTGCATGTACTCGACCGGCACAGATGTACTTACATTAGAGCCCCATATTCGTTATTACGAATTCACCTACCCGAGAGCATTCCTCGCGATTTTTATTACCGCTTAACATGCATGCACTAGGATTAATTATAAGATTAATTATATAAGCGCCTTTGCATTTTTTGATAATCCTATTATTATCATTATACAGACACTGACTCCGTCTGAAGCCAATCGTCATGATAAGTAATATCATTTCAGTAATTCAGTCAGTGATTCGGTATATGTTTATCCTGTAGAGTATTTTTGCAAAATCCTCTTACAGGAGCAAAACAGGATGTACAGTAACCAGAATACTTTTCTCGTTAATAATCGTATATCCGCCGTGTACTAGACTAGTCCAAAGGAATCTCGGCATAGGATATACATAGTAATACCGTTGCAGCAAAACTTCAATAAACAGGACGTCGTTAGTACCGCAATTTTTGCTTCCAGGTTAATCCAGAACGCAGTAGAAAAATTCCGTCGTAAGCGTCCATCGCATTCTCGTTAGAGATCCCTATGAAGGGTGAGAAAGGACCTTCGGTCCCTCTCGTTCCTCACGTATGTATGCCCCAGGACCTTTGGTCCTGGGGAAGGACACGGGGGCTGCTTGTAATTACTATTCATCCCTTTAATTGCATAGTGACCGTGTGTCCGCTAACACGAGAGTGAACATGATTTCACGAGTTGGTTTCCAAACAGTGCGGTCCCATTTTGTTTATCCAATTTGTATCCTAGTTCCTTCGTGTCTCTTTGTTGAATTTTCGGATGGGTTAAAAATATCTGTTGCCCATCAATTTGAAAACGCCCTGTACAACTCTATCGCGTGTTACCACTCAAAATGTACAAACACGTTGTGACCTCATTATTAAGTGAATAAGACTAATTTTTGCGGTGATACTAATATATGTGTATTTTCAAAAAAAAATCTGATCTGGATTCGTAATTAATTTTTTATATGAACTATCGGCTATATTTGTGACAGTCCAAGAATGGATTATGATATGAAGATATAAAGATCAGTACGATATTTAGGGGACTTATTTATATAATAAGCCATAAGGTAATGACCCCTCAAAATGTATATGTTAGTTTATGACTACGTCTTTTGATATGCCATATATTTTATAGCGAAACATAAATAACATATTCATTGGTTCATTCTGTCAATATTCTATAAATATGTATGTCTACTATAATGTCACAGTAATACAAATGATTTCCCAAAAATCTGACATGCAACGTACCTATGGAATAATATTTTTCCATCAAAGCTTCGTTAAAAATTACGTAAATACAAATAACGTTATACATAAAAACCTATTGCAAAACATTATACAGATGATATTGATAAGACTAATTTCATATGAAACTTCAATATTTAATAGTATTACGATACGCACAGGCTTTTTTATTATACATATTATACATATTATATACATATATTGTGTTTTATGCCGCATCTCCGTGAAAACAGAAAACTGTCCATGTATCGTACTTTGAGATTTTTTTGGGTACCGAAAAGCCTCCCGGTAAAAGCAAAGTTTTCGACTGCTAAGCTGTTTACAGAGTACGATTTAAATAAAAAATCGTTCCAATTTTGTATCGATAATACTTCTCCATAAAGTTTTGTCTTCCAAACCCCAGAAAGCCTCAAGTATATAAGCCTCCATTGTATTTACCTCTACTACTTTCCATGTATTCACATATATACATATAGACAAATATAAATTGTGACATAATTCCCGCTCCAAGCGTCATCAGCAAATATATCGATCGCTTCTAACATGATGAAATTCAAAAACCTAGTAGGCACCAAGTATGGCTTATCCCTACTACACGTTTCTCTTCCGGCTGATTTTCCAAGTTTCCCAACTGCTCAGTCTCACTTGACAGGGGCAAAGAGGAACGTCAGGGCGAAGAGAGAAAGAGAGAGAGAGATCTGTGATCATGTTATAGGCTTGCATAATGGTGAAATAATGACTATGATATTATTTACCACAATACAATAAAAAAATGGATTTTACAATAAAACTCCGGAGGTTTATTACTGTCCAATGGCGATTCAGGAACTTTCCGGGTGGCAATAATTAATTTTTCCATGACTTGTCCCCAATCCCATTTTCCAAATCTATTTTGCGAATCCCTTCACAGGGCGATTGGGAATCCTACCAAGAATCGTTGAAGAGGAATCTCATTCTTCACGCAGTACGCGAAGTGATCTTGGTCGCTTCCACTGTAATTGCGGGTTCACGTTACTGTCACTCAGGCACTGACAAATTTTCCCGAAATAAAAGTGTCTGCGTGTTATTGATAAAAAAACTCGGATACCTCATCATTTATTTTTAAAATGAAAGGTACAAGCATTCCTGTCCCACTTCTGTCAGGAACGTGACACACCGAACGAAAACAAAATTTCTCTGAATAAATCAACTGTGAACAATGTAACGTGCAAGAATTTCATTGGCATTATTCATTTATGTCCCTATAATCCTGTTCGAACGAATAATTGATATTAGAGTTGGATGTGTACTTGATCTACATAGTATGCAGTTAGTAATTCAAGAGAAAGATACGTGTTTGATATTGCTTGTAAATTTTTGTAAAAATTTACTTTTTTCTTTCACGGGAAAAATGTCGCAAATACTTGAATCGTAAGTGCAGTACGTGTCACTTTGTGTGCGCAGTGCAGCGATACCTGTGGCACTTTGATGTATCAATTATGTAAATCGAAGAGTCTCAAGAGTTCAAACGAAAAGTCGAGGGCTCGTGTAACTTGACAATTCGATTGACGTGATCAGTTTACGATCAGGTCTTATAAAAGCCATGGTGCGTATAGACTATGTTCGAAGAAGCGTATCGAACGAAATACTTTGCTAGTTGTAAAGGCATCGTTGATAAAAGTGATTTGCACGTGCATCGCTCGCAAAAGTAACTGTTAGAGACGCGAGTGGTGCCGTTATTCCCTGCGAGGGTACATAAAGCATACGTGGAATCGTAAAGCTTCAGAGGATTTCACAGTATTCCTCGATAGACTTGTAGAACGATATCCAATTCTGCACTAAAATACGTTTATTTCGTCGTATTATTTTGCTGCCCTGCTTTTCTGGGAAGATGTTTAGACTGCCTGAGTATGTATCTCGCTTTCTAAAGCCGCCATATATTATATGCGTATCCAAGGACCCCTTGTGGAACACTCAAATTCTATGTTATATACGTACATATGTGTCTTACCAATTTGTATCTCGAAGACCCGTTATAGTGTGAATGGAATGAGTGAGTTTTAGGGTTTCCATTGAAATGGTGAAATCAATATTATTTAGTATCTTGAAAAATATATCTCGATCGCTGCGTCACCAACGTACATAAATGTGATTGAGATACGAAATACGATGCTCAAAGTATTTGGTCGATTATGATACATTTGCAATTAACAGACAAATTTGTAGATAATGTTTCCACTTGCATGAGAATAGAAATACAGTACGTTATCATAATAAATGTCATTAAATATTACTTGAAACTCTTGTAAAGCTTGTAAAAGTGCCGTTATCTGGTGTTATTTAAGTACTTTGAAGTTTGAATTGTGTCAGTTTACTTTAATTAACATGCAATGATACCTTTTTTCCATTTAATGAAGAAGACTCGATAATAGTCTAGTATACTGCAGTATTAATTACTCAATGGCCACGATCGATTATGAAATATAATTATAATTGAACTCGTGGACCGACTATTTCTACGTTCCGATATTTACTACCAGATACCAGTACTGCAAACCTCTGTATCCTATCTTATTCTCATTTATCCACATGGAACTGAGAGACAACCATATTCACAGTACTACTAACAGTGGATTTGAGCACCATATCACACAACATATAACGTCTTGAATTTATCTTGCAGCGCCCTCAATGTGGAACTTCAGTAAACGTGGAATTCGCAACGATGTGGTGTTATTAAAGATTTGATATAATATTTGTTAATATCGTCTCGAAATTATCATCAAAATGGATCCAGCATTACTTAGAGAACGAGAACTCTTTAAGAAGAGAGCTCTCACAACGCCAACGTAAATACTTAGTCCTAATACATTATTATTTTGGGAATTTCTAACCTTTAACGCACATCTATTGGTTATATTCAATTTTATATCTTATAAAGTTCTTGATTATGAAATATATTTCATTTATTATTGACTTCTTCAATATTTAATAGAGGATAATAGTATTTGTATAGTAGGTAATCTATTTTTGTCTTATTGCTTTAACATAGGTATGTATAACATACTGTAATTATCTCAAATTATCTTGTAATGACTGTGTATTTGCATTTATTTAATAAGTTCATATTCTTTTATTTGCAATTATGACATGTATCAAAAATGATTGATAAGAAATATTGTAATTTTAGAGTCGAGAAGAAGAAAAGAGAGCCAGAGAAGGAAGTGAATCGAGATGAACCATCAAAGAAGAAACCAAAGTCCTCTTCGGTGTCCTCAGGACCCAAACTGGATATGGTTAATTATAAGACTATGTCTGGTAGTTCTCAATATAAGTTTGGTGTATTGGCAAAAATAGTAAAACATATGAAAGCGAGGCATCAGGATGGCGATGACCACCCTTTAACATTGGAAGAGATTTTGGATGAAACAAATCAATTGGATGTAGGATCTAAGGTAACATAAATTATGATAATATTTATAGTTACAAGTTTTTTAATATTCAATATTAGACACAGATAGTATTGAAACGACCTATCGAATGACTGCTCGGTACTACAGTCAATTTCGTTATTCATTAGGTGAAGCAATGGCTACAAACAGAAGCACTAATAAAAAATCCAAAAATAGAGGTAATGCCAGATGGTAGATTCTGTTTTAAAGCATTGTACAGAATCAAGGATAAAAAATCATTGTTAAGATTATTAAAGCAGCAGGACCTAAAAGGACTCGGAGGTATTTTATTAGAAGATATACAAGAAAGCTTACCTCACTGCGACAAGCATTTAAAGGTAATATGTGAAATAGATACATGTTCGTATACTATAAAAATAATTACAATAATAAGTAAAATGCATAGTTTAAACCAAATTTTCCTTCCAGAGCTTACAAAATGAAATATTATTTATCACACGACCGTTAGATAAAAAGAAAATTGTTTTCTATAACGATAAAACCGCACAGTTTCCAATTGACGATGAATTTCAAAAATTGTGGCGTGCAGTTGCGGTAGATGCAATGGACGACCAGAAAATTGATGAATACCTCGAGAAGCAGGGAATCAGATCGATGCAAGATCACGGTCCAAAAAAGCCAGCTCCCATTAAAAGGAAGAAACCTAATGCGAGGAGGAAGCAATTTAAAAAGCCAAGAGATAATGAACATTTGGCCGACGTTTTAGAAACATACGATGATGGCAAATAAAAGCTGAAGTGTTTAAAAGTGAATGTTGTATAATAATACTATTGATAATCAGTTCGACGATATTCGTGTGCAGTCACGCTCGCAATATGTTGCAGTTCAACAGAGCACTTGTTTTGCACAGTGTCATACAGCTGAATGTGATATGGAAGTTAGTATTTAACTAGTAAGAGTGATACTCATGTAGGAAGGATCAAAGTGTGAAGAAACTTGTAGGATACTGGTAAGAATGAGTAGCTTAATTTAAATAAATGCGAATTTTATCATTAGGATTTATAGATATAAGTACAAAATAAATATAGATTAATAAATGTAAATATCAACACTTATCTAGTTTAATTGCAAATAGGTCGCTCTTCGCTTTAACCGTTAATGTAGTCGAGACAGAGAAGACAATTATTTTCTTGAACGAAAAACTTGAATCCTTTGCTAGACTCAACTAGCGATTTTTATTCGACAGATCGATTATTCTTAGTAATGTGGACCTATAGTAACGTATTTAATAGAATTACCTTGACATGAAAAATAACAAGTGTAATCTGTACCATTCGAAAATTACTGAATAACGTCACAATTATTCTATTGACATACCAAAAGATCATCTAACGAATTTGAAAGATCATCAGTAATACTATATTCCGCGCTTATAAATAATATCGAATTCACAACACGGGGATGGTATAGAAATTTCTCAAACCTATTAGACACATATGTTCATCGTGCCTATTGAAGCATTCAAAGGCACTGAATTATTGAATCATAGAAATCTTTGGCACTTTCGGCTTAAATTTTGACGACACAACAAAAACTCGCAATCTCGCGTATAAACATTTCATAATATTAGAACGTATTCTTTACAAATACTCTTTATAAATTAACTAACCGTCATTTCACGGTCGTACCGTATCCCAGTAATTTGTACAAGGTACAAATACCCTTAATTTGATATATAAAATATACTGTATTAAAAGATGTTAATCTTTTGGCAGGGCTGAATCGCTTTTCCCCCTGGAATAAGCACGCGTTGCTTTACTACCCAGCATCCTGTCTAATAAAGACTGTTTATTTCGTCTTCTTGCTGCTAAAACTTCACGGCATAGTTCGTGGAAGGACTCAGCCACTTGAGCAACCTGAAACCATCACCAAAGATCGTTTAATTTACCTCTTCTGAAATTATCAAATTAAGGAAATGGAAAACTTTGTGAGTAATTTGCTGATAAAAGCTCAAGTATTATAGGCTAAACGTAAAATGAAGCTTATTATGTTAGTTTTTGTAAGAAATGCTCAAAGAATACCCCGTAACGTGTCGCCAGAGGGCACCTTAAAATATTTTTTTTTTTTTTGACAAATAACTAAAATCACCTTCAAATTTAAAACAGTGACATCATAGGCATCTAAAATATTTTCAAGGAAGGGGAAACCTATTAAAAAATATTTTGGAGGCAGATTAACAGCGTCATCCCTCGTGAAAAAGGGCCAGAAGGCCTCTTCTTTGAGCATTTGTTACAAAACTGTTGTATCGAGCTAGTACAAATGAGTATAAGACTCGTGTGATTGGTACACTCATGTCTTATAATCATTCGTACTAGCTAGATAAAATACTATTTATGAAAAAAAAAAAAAGAATAATCCGTTCACCTGTTCAGCTGCTGTGACTTCGCTGAACCAGCATTCAAAGTCTTTAGCCAGAATTTCTCCTTCTTCAGCACTGACCTGCCTCAAGTGCACCATGTCTGCTTTATTACCAACCAATGCTAGTGGCATAGCCGCTTCGGGATCAGCAACAGCAAGTGCTTGCTTTGCTTTTCTTACAAAATTGAATGATCCTCTATCAGTTATCGAATAAACTAACAGAAGACCATCGGCCCATTGTAATGTTTCTATAGTTGGCAGTTCGTCCTCGCTCTATGAAAGCAAAAAATTATGTTCAATGATGCTTATATTTCGTTGATGAATTTCTTCTTAAAAGTCAATGTTATTTAAATATTTAAGATAGTAAGGAAAAACTAGCAATAGAAAGAAAAATAACACGAATGCAAAGTTTATGATATAATAATGAAACGTAAACCGAAACTTCAGGAATGGATCTGAGTATTTAGAGAATTTTATATTTTAGGTATAAAGATAAAAACACAATGCGTGCCAAAAATTTATATCGTCAGCAGTATTGTTATATAAATAACGGTATAGATACACGTTGCATCTCAGAAATATTTATGTAAAACTTATAAATTTCAGAGAAATTCGCTTCGCTTTTTTTTTCTTTATTTAAAAATATATCTAACAACGTGACGATATATCTGTTTTCTCATTAATATCTCAGAGCTTTTGATCTTAAACTCCCACGACTAGAATCCGTTCTATTTAAAATCTGTTTGTTCTGAAAATTCTATTTCAATATTAACTACAGTAAAGTATCGCTATCAATTAAAAACTTTCAATCTCATTGTATCTTGTTTTAAACAAAAGTACCGTCGTTTTATTACAGCGTACGCAGCACACTGCATTGGAATTTCCAATATTCCCAACATATTCAAATTCTATTTACAAAAGATGTTACCTTTGGACAAGAGTCTAAGATTTCAAAGAGTATAGGTTCGCCGTCGACTAAGACCTCGTGTTTGTATCTGTTCTCTGAAAGAAAAGTTAAAATTAGATTCATTCGATTCCCTTGATCCTTCATTTTCAACATTTAGTCTAGCTGAATATTCTAATGACATAAGGTGATGCCTAGGGAAATTTTCAAGCGCTGTTTCGGTTCAGTCCAGACCTAATGGCGTTATGAAATCCAATTAGCAGATAGTAAAGACACGTCAACTATTCGTACTATTCGCACAGTATAGTCAACAAGTAGCCACCCCCCTTTTCTACTCAGTAGCGGTGTACAAAGACACGGCGTGTTCGTTTGAATATCAACGTCGTATTAGCAGTGGCCCTGTCTAGTGTCAAATTCGTCTGCGATAAATTTAGAACAGACGCGACCCGAGGTATGCTGAGAGGACAGTGTTAGAGGCGGCAACAGTTGCTGGCCATTTTTCAACAAACGTTGCCTTATGTTGTGACTATGTCGGCTTTGCTCGGCATTCTTATCTAGGAACAATAGCTCCTAAATTTCTGTCCATTTACCCACCAGCCTGATGATCGTATTCGCCTATGTATCTTCTCGTAAGGAATCTCACAGTCAGGGCTGAAACAGAAAGCGTCACACGTTATTCGAATGACTATGAAACAACTTTTAACATACACAAAATTGTTTAATGACATTACTATTTTTCGCAATGACATTTCTCTTTATAACGTATCAAATTGAATAAATTGTTCATTATGGAAATCAAAATTCTCTCTTGATGATCATTTCGTCTTTGTGATGCTTATAGTTTGTATAGGGATGTCAATTTATGTGAATAACAATGGACTTGGCATAAAAACGATAAACTTACGATTTTTCAACGAAATTGAACTTATTTTTAGGAATATATTCGATGCAGTGCTCAGGGTGATTTGTAAAATAATTATTCCCGCGAGAAGATGTTTATTTCGCGTACTTTCCAAATGTCCACACATGCTTCGTTACAGACGTGCGCCATGGTATCTATACATTTGTATATATATTGCAAAATCTCACAACCATCCACCATCGAAATGTACCCTTTGTTGACAAAAGTTGCACGTATCCCCGATATATGTGAAATTCCTTTGAATTCTAACTGAGAAGGAATGAGTTTGAGAAAATAATTTGACGGCGAACACCATGAAAGCAATATGTCAAACAGACGGATGCAGAAATAATAAAAATAGCGTCGAAATGTTCCGTTGTATATGAGATCTTCCGCCTTTGACGTATTGGCATATAGTATTAACGTCGAAAACGAACGTCGAACGTCCCACGTGTGTTTTTGGAATAATTCGTAAGCGGATGTGGAAGCTGCTGGAGAAGCAGAGCCACATCCTCCTTAGCTAGAAATCGTTAGAAGGAACTTCAACGCACTCCCGGCTGTTCCAAAGCTCGTGATAAATTATGGCAACTAAATGTTTATTCGTGTAGTAGACACCTATAAATCGGGTTAGTCCATCTTCGAGGTCTTAAAACATCTTGCAGTTTGTTTTGATAGCCGACGATTTAACCGTAACGTCGTTTTACCTACGAATAGCGTCTCCGTATTTAATTCCAATCGTATCGAGTCGTCGATGTTGATTTAGGTTTTGTAAGCCAATATCTTTATTAGAAATAAAATTCGATAAATTCTTACCAAGATACTATGACTATGGAACTTTCGTCTGATCTGTTCCGGTTTGTTCCGCAAGTAACGTGTAGATCTTTGTACCTTTGTATAAGTTTTTTAAGTATTGACGATTATTAAACATTTTTTAATTAATTTCTAAAAACGTCACTTCCGGGTGCATCTTATAAGACAATCGATCGAACAAGAACTCATTATTACCTCTGGAGGAGACTTACCCTGCGATAAGGAAATTGAGTACACTCGACGAAATTGACTTTGGAATAATGGTATTTACATGGATGAACCCGATGTTCTTAGCAAACGCAATTCTGATAAGGCGAATTTCTGTATTTTAACAATATCATTATCAAAGAATGTATTGACAGTTTGTACTTTTTATGAGAAGCGAAAATAATATTCTGCAATTGTTCAAATATCATATACACTTCTACTTCGTACAGAACGCAATGTTACCAAGGCGTTCATATGACATGTTCACGAGATGAAGTTGGTAGAACGTCTGTAGGTTATCCGTAGGCTGTAACTAGTTACTGCAAGTGTCAAGTTTTATAAAAGTATTTGATAAAAACATACAGATAGATTTCAATATAGTATAGCTTTATAATTAATTAATCAAGTCCCGTACAAACTCTTAAATAAATTTTTTTTTAATAAAACATGATACAGCAAATAATTATAAAAGAGAGCAGAACCCATGCGCGTGAACGGAGTCGAATCATTTCCGTCGTGGCATTCGATTTCAAGAAATGAGAGTCGAGTCATGAAGTTGAAACGAAAGCCACAGCCTAGTGACCCGCTGCGGGGTATACCACGTTATTTTTACTGAAAACCTGCCAAGGCGTCGGAAAACCTTGTATGAGCACTCGGTTAACGTCTTGGCGGCTCCCTAACTGCAATCCCCTTGATTCCTGTATCGATATAATCCACCTTACCTAAGAGCTCAAATGACATATATATTTAAATTTTTCGATAATTTCTCTCCTACATTGCCAATCAATATATCCTTAGTTACGCATTTTTTCCATTCATGATTTTTTATTAACAACTCCATCACTCTGGGGGAATTACATTGATACATAAAATTGAATTATCAAGAATACAAAACAATTTTATTTTTCTATAAATTTTACGAAGAATTCACTATTTCTCATAATACTGGACTAACAACCGTATTGATTCTCGTTTAGAATGTCAAGTGCACCGATTATAAATCCGTTAAAAAATTTTGCCACGATCGCATACTCAGTTCATACAAGGTTCTTTATTCGACATTAATTGTTCATTTAGATCGTAACATATGAATGTATGTCATTATTACCGATATAAAATTAACTGCACTAGCACTTGAATTGGCTATTTGAAGTTTTACGAAGTCGAAAGAATGTAATAATTTTGGAATTCTCGAATTCAACAGTCCTCGCATATTTGTTTACCAATCTTCATATGCGTACTATATTCTTACAATTTTTAGATTTGAATAATACGATAGCGGAGAAAAATCTTGAACATTTTATCTTTTCGTTTACCTAACAGCCGACAGAGAATAATGAGGTATTGGCGCGAACGAAGCCTAACAGACGATCCAGCCACGAATAGAGGGTTATCAAGTTGTGGCTTCGCTCGAAATATACCAACTATTTGTTTATGGTATGCATGGACCGTAATCCAGCAGCAGAGCATCCATTTCTAAGTAGGCACTTCACGTCCTACGAATCAGACGAAAACAAATCCGTTTCACATTCCAAAATTATTCGCGGATACGTCGATTATTTCTACTTGTTTATTCTATTCGAAAGATCGACGATTTCTTGTGTACCTTATGGCAGTTCATCACATGGATATTACTTTATCACTATTACATATACTGTACATTTCAAAGTTAGGATCCGTTCTTTAGTGTATTTGCAATCTAAAAATTGCTGTGCAATATAATGAAAGACACTTGAACATTTACATGCATAATACGATATATTGTATCCAGATGAGAAATATCGAATTGGATAATTATCAGTAATTAATTAAGTAATCCGGCTTAGTCCATTTGATTAACATACATATATAATGGCATAGCACGTGTGAGCGTATCTGATACTACGTGAAATAAAATCTGTCAAATCCCGCGACAATAATAACGATATGTTGACAATGGTAATGTATAATTAGTTTGACTGGAAATATTACATTTTTTTTAAATTTTGACTTTTTTAAAAATATATTTAAGTCTAGAGAAAGAAATAACATTTTTACTTGACACATCTGTAAAATACAATTTTTGTATCGCGGGGCGTAAAGTTTATCGTGAAATTAAGGGGCCGTAAGTCCTAGAGATATTCATGGATACTTTCAGTAAAGATATATAAATAGCATATACATGCATTGGTTTAAACCTGCAGCTGCTGGGACCCACGAATTATTTACCCACCTATGCCTTACACGTGCCATTACCCAAAAATACACGCAGTTGGCTGCATTCAGGGTCCTACCACCACCATTGCCATCACGCACCCAGTATCATCTTCAGGTACTACCACCATATATATATCCGGCTCCTAAGTTTCCCCTACTTCCGTTAAACTTTCCTCCTTTATGAACTGGACCACCTTACGCTTTAATTTCTCTACTTACACGTATTACCGTACAATCCGTACAGCGCACGTTAACCAATGTTTGCTCTGCGGTTCAAATAAAATACAAGACTCCCCATTATCCTGACGGCCCTGGACAAAATTTCGCAATTTAACGCGAATCGCTGCACATTGGCCTTTCGGTTACTCAGTAACGTCCAGCATCTCGTCTTCGAGTAGCCACGACCTGGTTAGCGGACTCGTTCCATTGGCTTTTCCCGTTTTTACCAAGAATTACGACCACTCCTTGGGCACCTTATCCACCGAGCACTTTATCCCTGCGTCCACGCCAGGAACAGCTGGATCTGGTACCACGTAAATTGCAAGTTCAGATAAGCAATTTTCTATGTCATAATAATTGCCGTACTATTTTATCAACATTCTCAATAAGCTTTATCCCAACGAATTGTCCCATTTGAAAATTCATGATTGACATACGAATCTCTTTTGAGTCTTAATAAGAAAAAACAAGTTACTGGCACATTTAACGCTACGCTCAATTTTATCTTAAACTGGAACACGTTCTGCTCTGGGTGGCACATTCCCGTGGCGTCGTTATTTCGCGCATATTTATAGTGAAGTCACATTAATCTGGATCAAGAGTAGATTCGCGCCACTTCGCCAAGGCCTTTAGGTTTCAGAGCAGACGTGCTTATAAAACTATAGTTGTTGATCACTCGAGTTATAAAATGACAGAGGTACTTTTATTCGACCCACGCCAATATACATATACCATCCAGCTCCTGCCGATGCTAGCAAACCAATGAATGTTACAGCTATTACTCACGTCTCTATTTCGGATGCTGAGAATTGTGTCGCAAGGGTGGATTTAGAGGGTCGGCCATTAACGATTCACGTTCAGCCCAGTATTGTTGTGGGACGTTGTGCTCGTGACTCGGAAATATTATAATAGACGCAACTGGCTTGGCGACGTCATCGTATTATAATGACTTTTGTGACGTCACCGTTCGACCGATATAATCGACGTCATCTATTTTTAACCTTCTATTCGTGGTCCTTCAAGACAAATACACGGCTAACATCGACCGGGAAAATAAACTGGTATGATGGAAAAGCAACAAATATATCGAAGGAATGGGATGCTGTGTGCTCTTTGCTTTTACACATTTTTTTTTTTTTTTTTCCTTTGACATAGACACCGGTGCATGGTGACCGGGGTATAATGACGTCATGGAATTTTCAAAGGAAATTACTATCGCGCTCATACGCATTTCAGCGATTGATCAAAGGACGTTGAAATGAACGGGTGAAATTTTTTTTCAGACCAATCTGTAGTTTGGAAAAGTTATCAAGTATTTTAAATCGAGTTATTAATTTATGGAATAAACAAATGAGGCATGATTACAGTTATCGGATATGAGAAAAAAATTGTTTTTTGTCTGAATCAATTTATTGACAACACAGGATATAATTTTGTCAGGTTCTATACGAGTAGGTAATTCTCGTAATGAGTCAGACTGTTGTACGCGATATTTCTGTGTTATTTTGTTGGCAAATTTTAACTGACAACATTTTGAATAAACTATTTGTAATGACTGTATATTCGTGTGAGTCGTACTTTTGGCACGGTATCTACAAAGCAGCAGCTTACTATCTCCTGTCGATCTTGCTATAAAATACTCGGAATTAGCGTATGCAAATTGTTGAACTTTCTCGCTATGCTGTATAACTAGTCAGAGGTACTTTCACGGTATTTATCTAAACTCAACTTGCCATGTATCTACGTGCCAAGGGAATTAAGTTAGGAGAGTAAATTGCACTCGAGTTAACGACAATTTATTTATCTTTCAGATTGAAAAGTCATCAAGACAATATTCGCGACATCAGGATAAACATTTTTTCAGCAAACTCTGCAAATAATCAAAATACCTCGGGGTATCTCTTACGAAATTTTGTGTTGGTTAATCAAATGGATTTACGACATGCGTACGAATTTTTGGTCGTTTAAAAAAAGTTTTCTGACGAAACCGCAAAAGCACTGAATTTCATGTTTGAACCGTACAACACGAGTGTGCACACATCTGGCGGGGTCGTCGTCCAGCGAACGCAAACACTAACAACGAATTCCTTGCAGCTTTGATAAAACAACCAAGTCAGAGGAAGAGGTCGAAATAAGAGAAAGAGAAAACAAGTATCAGGGAACCAGAGTGAAAAATTTGTTCGAAGGAAATGTTCTTTAATACTAGGAAAACATCCAGTAGCACAGTGTTCGAGTCTGATGAAAATATTTCATTAAATTATGTATCTGTTAAATTTTTTGTAAACTTCGTTTGAGAGGTAAACAAAAATTTGTTCAATTTAAATTAAATGATTGTGTCACGATTTTTACCTACATTGTATAGGGCAGCAAGTTCTCGATGATATTTATGAACTAGATGTTCGCCCGATTGATTTCATTGAATTTGCCATTTTTTTAATTCAAATCTTTCTATAATGCGTCGAAACATTATTTAAACTGCTCTATTATAGTTTGGTATCTTAGATGATTTGTAATGGCTCGCGAGAGAGGTTTGTATACCTATATACACGGTATATATACATATATACACGTACAGCATCTTTGGCACGGATAATCGCTACGCCGCATTAAAGCAACCGTACTTGATGTAACTATTTTACTCACGAGACTCGCGGAAACTCTTTCGCGCTCTAGTTATTTTATCCGTGCCAAATCGACGTACCACTATTCCTCCGGTTATAATGCATCACCGATGACTGATTTATCCCTACCTTGTATACCAGCGGCAAACTATTTCCGACACACTTTGGCAGAGCACTTACCACTTTTGCCAACTCCTGGAGCCCCAATCACAGCCACCTTCACCTCGCATAGCGAGCTCTTCTTCCTTCGGATACCTCTGATTGCATTTGACGTCATACTCGTGGCATTTGAGGCTGCAACATACGAATACCATATTCGCTATAACGATACATTCATGCAGTTTAAAAAATCCCTACAAAAATTCATCGTCTTATTAATATAACGTTAAAATACAAATTTGCATTTATTCCTATCACTTTATATACATATATCATGGTGAAACGATACTGACTGCGCTTAATCGTCAGATCGACGAAGCATTTATATGAGAATAAGTTTCAAGACTTTAATTACTAATTCAAATAAGCTACATATCATGTCGATATATCGAAAATTAAAAAAATTCGAAAAAAATGTGCCACGTTCTGGAAGTTAATGACAATAATTTTTTTTTAATGTGAGCAGTAAAAATTTCAGGTTGAATGACTGCTTTCATGTACAATCTAATATTCTATTTTGGTGTTGCACTCGGAGGTAAAACAGCTGCTTGAAAGTGCAGTGTGCGAGAAAGAAAAAGGAGGAGGAAGAAAAATGAGAAAGTGCAGCAGAAAAAGAAGATTTACGTCCGTCTTGTGTATGGCCTAGAAGTGAATCGTCCGTCACACGAAGAAGATGGTCCGTCATGCCAGAAATCGTCAAAGACGAACCCATGTCCACGAGGTCAGACACCTCACTGGTGACGTCGAAGGCTCGTTGCATTCGCATAGTAAAACAAGCTGCAATCTGAAACTTGCAATTTGCTTCCTCCGAGTCGTAAGTAGTGTACGAAGTCCTTATATGAGAAAGCATTTTCATTTTATTTTAATCTTTGGCTTCCTCATAGATGAATCTTCATCTACTGCCCACGAATCAGAGGAAGCAAATTGCAAAATTAAAATTCTTGGCTTCCTCATATAGGGACTTCGTATACTTACGATTCGGAGGAAGCAAATTGCAAGTTTCAATTTGCAGCTTGTTTAACGTGAGTCCCCATGCCTCTCACAACTTAGGGTGCTTCATGCTGTAGAGAACGCATGTGAGGATAAATCTCTTGCATGATCTCTTCGGGCCTAATATTTTTGAATTGGCTGAAATTCAAATACTTGAATATACGTATAATCAGATCCGTTTTACCGATCTCCGCTAAATTTGAGACATATCACGGCTAAATGATACTCTATCCTTTTCGAAAGTTGGAGCTCAATCGGTCAAAGTTGACGGGAGTTATATTGATAAATTTAATTTTTCGAAAAATTCAAAATATCATAAAATCAAAACTTCTCGATGGATTCGGCTCAAATGCAATACCAACCAACCTTGGATACATATCTCTTTGTCAAGAACTATTTAGACGATTATCACAAAATTTGCGATCGCTAGTGTGATAACGTCCTTTTTTTGGGAATTTAAAAACGACATAAAATCCGAGCCGCAGCATGAACCATGACGAAAATTATAGTCAATGAAAGGATTATAAAGCTGCATATGCCTGCAATTTGCAATTTGGGGGCTGTAGTTAAAACCGTTCTCGAGTTATACACGTTTGAATTTTGGGAGTCCATTACACACACACACACACACACACACACGCGCGCGCGTACACCCGGACATTTTCTCCAAACGTGTTTTCTCGACGTTTTGGCACATTTTGAACATGGCGACATGAAAATCTCAACAGGAAAATTTTTCACCGTCACACAGCTTCCTCTATGAGGAAGCAAAATCGAGATTATTCATTTTCAGTGAATACAAATTTTGCGAAAATAAGGATGCCTCAGCGTCGCCACGCTTCTTTCGATGGAATGGTTCTAAACTGAAACTCAAACGACGTTGCAACGTTCAGAATGTTACAAACACTATTCGGATTAAGCTCACTGCATAAACGAGTGAGTCAAATGTTGTGACTAGGATGGAATGACAAGATACACAGTTGTGAATATAACAAATTCGACAATTGTACAATTGTCGGACAAACATCACATATATGTATATACATATAACGCTACTAATTTCTTATTCATTAGCGCGTGTCACTAATGATGATTTATAGGCTTGTGCAAGTGTCTTCCAGCACGTTAATGTTCGTGCCTGATTGAAATTTGCTCATTGCAAAATTCAATAATAATTTATCAAACTTTCTTGGATGCCAACGATATTTGTTCTGTTTTAAAATTTTTCATTTTATTAAATAAACAACGTTTTTTAGTCCTCTACGAGATGTTTGGACATGCGAGATAGATGTCGCTCAGATCTGTGGAAAGGATCGTGAGGGAACGCGGGAGGAAAGGAGAGGGAGAATAGGTGACGAGAACATTAATAGAACGGTTCGCACATGTCTTAAGGAATTTAAAGAATTCCTTTCGTCATCTAACGCCAGCGCCGGCTACTGATCTAAATGCGTCACGCGTCATGTCTCATCCTTGATTTTACTATTAATCGACGTATCATCGGCGATTGATACCATCGATTCGTTTCGAGTGTGAATTTTTGAGGTAAATACGATTATATGGAGAACGACTTGCCAAAAATTATTAGTCAAGTATAAAATGATCTCGATATCGATTTGTATGAAAAACTTGCTCGTACAGATGACGAGTGCGTGGCTGAATTCGTGAGGTCCATCGAAGATGAAAATATTAGGGATCTGAGTGAAATTATTAAAAATAATTTTTGTTATAATTAAAAATATTTTATTAATTATTTATATTTTCCTTATAGATGGATCTTTTCCATGTGTGTATTTGCTGTATAATTTTGTCTTCGTATCTTCCCGTGTCATTGACTGCAGAAAGCGTGCTCCCATTACGAAGATGGAGGTCCGGAAGGGGAAGACTTGTATGCCATAGTATACGTTCATGATTCGAATGATCAATTAAATTCTTGGCCGATTAGGATGCCTCTGTCTCTTTTACTGCATCGTTTATCGCGTATTGGTTCTAATCCTATTTTGAAAACGGTAGTTGTGTTTCGTTTTGCGGTTCGTCACTGTTGCAGAATCTCGATTGGTGGTAATGAATAGCGGGATAATGTACAGTTATAGTTTCTGGTGAGATTTTCTTGTTTGTTATAAAGGATAGCGATTAATTAAATGGATTTTACAAATTAAAATAATAAAGAGAAAGATTTATTAGAGATTTTACTCACCTTCATAAATTTTTTTTCAAAATTTAAATTTCTTGGATTATTGATCTATGGCGAATATGGGTAAGACACTTGTTTCATAAATTTTGTTGAAATATTATGAAGTTTGAACGAGACGTGATACGAGTTTTTACTGGTTGGTGACCGATGAGGATTGATATTGATTTTATACTGGTACTTGGATCTTATTTTTTATTACTGTGCGGTAAACGTCAAAATGAATTTGAATTTATCACGTGGTTCCTGTCAGTATCTGCGTTGCGCTGCTACATCCGTCGCGGTTCTTGGTCTACGCTCAACTACTTCTCTCTATTCTTGTTTGGCTTGTGAGTGAATTCTTTTTTTACTTTCAAGCCAGTTACACACGATACCATGTTCGGTAGAAAAACTGGTGTGGGCTTTGGAACTCGATCGGTATTCATGTTGGTCGATCAGGTAGGAATCTAGAAATATGTATTTAAAAATGGTACGAATTAATATTGAATTTACATTTTATTATGAGATACAGGTGAATTTGACATATTATGGATTATTTATGTATCATATGCGTGATGTAAAATATTTTTGTTAGTATTGTATACTAAATTGTTACAATTTGTAGTAAGTTTTTTTTACGATTTTCAAAATTAGTCAAGTTTTTTTTATGTATGAAAAGCTGAAAGTTTACTTTTCGTTTGTTGTATTAGAACTTTGAAGAATGTTAAGATTTTTTTCATTTACCCTCTGATACATTATCATTGTCCTGTGTTACATGCTTTCCACCCGGGGAGCCACTCGTTGATCGTTTCAGGACTATCTACCTTGCCGACATGGACGTCCACGTCGACGTTATCCGTCGCGACGTATCTCAAATTCGGGCAGTCCGTAAATAGCCAATCTATGGCTCGCAGAAGTGCAGGTTTTATTCGATCTGTGACAATTATGAAAAGTGGATCACTCATTTAATGATTATTGACTGTTACTACGTTGACGATCCATCGTAATGATAGATTTTCAAAATTGTCATGCAGGAAATTCAGAAGCGGAAGGAACATCATAAAAGTTTATTGAAATGAACATAATGATAGAAATATTTTTTAAATTACGTTTCTTTCGCGAGTTTTTAATAAATGCCATAATATCGCGAATTTGACGTACTCCTGATAATTGGCACATTGCTATATTCCTCGTCATTATCATCATTAAACATATTATTGTCTCCAGCATTCATCAAAGCATTGTCAAAATTTTCTTTTTCTGGTTCTATATCCAAATCCTGCCTTCTCGAAATTTTTGTAACTTTTGACAAATTTTCATCTACAGTATGAAAATCCCTGTTGTGGTTCATTTCTTTTTTAAATGACGACGAACGCTCTTCTACGTCCTTTGTAGAAAAGGATCTATACTTCGTTCTGATTCGTTGATTTTTTAATTTGTCATCAAACTGATAGTAACAAAAAAAATCAATATCGAAGGTTTTACTCTTCTTATCGATTGAACTAAATATTCAATTTACCTCGCGAAAACCGCGTTTCATATCCTTCAGAACTGTTTCAATTGTTTGCAACGCATACTTATTTTTGTCATACTCCTGAAATCCCTGCTTCTGAATTCCAGGCTTCATTACCCGAACCATACGATCCAATTTAATTATTTGCTCTTCCAACTCCGTTAGAATTTCCATACCGTTAGATTGATCCTCATTGTCTGAAAAATCATCAGGTACAGTCATCCTTACACAATACTTATAGAGGAAAATAGGGCAACATGGAACCCCCTTGAGAATTGGCTGAAACCATAAGAACCATAATATGTTCAAGTTATCCCAATTTCTATTTTTTCCTCGGGGTTTCTATGTTGCACAATCTTCCCCTATACGAGTAAATTGTTTTTTTTCTAAGAAAGACCAAAAACCATTTTGTTCTTGTATTCTATCCAAATAGCATCCTTCCGTAGGAGGATAATCCATGTGTTTCACATTTTTTGATGATTCATGATCTTCAACAGTTACAACTTGTTGATGAACATTTCTAAAATCGATAATTCGTCAATTTAATGTACATTGTAAATCAATATATACCCTTAATCTTTTGAATTGGTACCTTTTCTCAAAAACTATTAACTGATCGTCTACCCAGTTATCCATAAAATCAGTTGACTGTATTTCCTGATTACTCGAATTAGAATCATCATCTCCTACTCGTTCCTTATTTATTACCTCAAGTTCAACATCCGCCTTATCGGTATGTCCGTCACCCTTTTCATTAGATTTATCATACGTTTTCATCCCTTCGATCTAAAAGCTCAAAAGTTACCAGAAGATCAATGAAATTTACAAAAATATATTTAAATACCTTATCAGCCATGATATTACGATCTCGATCTCTCGTAGGATCGTCATCTTCCGAATAACTAACATCCAATTTTTTATCATCATTTCCACTCACGCGATAATCATCATTAACAAGAACGACGTCACTCGGTTCATACTTCCGATCAATCAAAGTCAAGTCCTGCGGACTTCTGCCACGCAGATGCAATGCACATGCAAAATACCGGTTTAGCCATAAATATCAGCAATAACAAATGGTTGGATTACAAAATAATACCTGATGACGTAAGAGGTATAGACCTCGCCAGGACATACAGCAGACGTGTTAGATTCTTGTCGGCTTGAAAAATAAATTCCTGAAGTTCCGCAAGATCGCGCCACGTACGAATCGTTGGCAACGATTCTCTCGGAGTCGTGATGACGTTGATGACGATGACGATGACGATGACTGTGTTTATCATCCTTACTGCTGCGTTTGACTATATGCTCTCGATGTCTTCTCTTATCGTGTCGCTTAAGTCTCTCCTCCTCGATCGTATAATTCCTGTGTCGATTATACTTGTAACCAGTGTCATCGTGTACGTCGATTCCCTCGGGAAACTGATTTCCCTTCGATGGATAAATTCGCTCGTAGCGATGATTAAAATATGTCGACTTGAATTCGTCACGGCCGTAGTTGCTCTCGGTGACCTTCAAGGCTGATTTTAAAGAATTTGCAACTAGATCTATAAGCAAGTAGCATCCTTTTCTTGCATCTGCACATGTATATTAATTTTTATCAAAAAAGAAAAATACATTTCATACGCTCTAAATAAGATACTCACAGTAACGTGCTTCTGGAAAATAATACAGTACAACAGCCGTTGACATTAAAGCTATCAACAACACGCGTTTTGCATGGCTCATCCACGAGGATATGCATGAAGTTTCGTGCACGTAACCTAATAGATTGACGATGATTATGTTTCCACTATATTTACTTTTTTTTACGACGCTCCTAATTACCATTCGTATCCCACGTGTTACCGGCGACGCATCCTATGGCGAGTGCGTTAAGGAGGAAAACTAGAAATTTCATAATTAAAACACAAATCCAAACAGATTGTGTCTTTTCGCAATACGACTTTACCAAAGCATCTTGGCTGTTGGGTAAAACAAAGGAAAATCTTATGCGCATATACCTATAATAAATCCTTGTCATACTGTTTTACAATACGAGTTGTAACCCAGCAAGCATGTCATATACGTAGTTATTTTCATGCAACAACTGTATACATACATATAGGGTTATTCTGTACATATAGACGCACCGACCGAAGGTAATTCTACCTCTGACATCGAGTGGACGGGCTACGATAACTGCAGTTGAATGCGTTTGGAGTGAATAACCCTGTAGAAGTGTTGTATGGGGATGCCAATGTAATTGTAAAATGATTAAGATTCAATCTTGATTTTTATTATGCTGGTTCTTTACAATATAATACAAACCAAATGATTCGTACGCTTGTTGAATTGCAATAACGTAATAAAGGAATAACAGTGCGCTTTACAAACAATCAGCAATATATGCAGTAGTGCAAGGTGCGTAAGCGTATTAATGGTATCCATCTACACTAATTACTAGCGAGAAATATCGCTGTCGCAAAGTTCGATTTGCGTTTCAGATTGATTTACGACATATATCGCTAACGTGTATACATATATATATATATATATATATATATATATATATATATATATATATATATATATATATGCATAGACATATTAATATATATAACGACAGTGCGACGCGTACACACGGTACCATCATGAGTGGTCGAATCATTTAGTGTCTACACATTCATACCAACAATATAAGAGAGATCTACTTGGAATCAAAAGTTCACGGAACGCTGCGGTGAAAACCCGCATTAATTTATAGTCAGTTAGTACGTATGCAGCAAACTAAGAAATCACACATACCTTGTGCACAGAAAACCGCGTTAAAATCCCAAAAATGGGAATTTACGTGGGAAATAGTGTGCGCGATTATTACGTATTTCAGGGGGGGTTAAGTCAATATAATATTACAATGTAACGTAACGCGTGAATACCCATTAACGCGCACGTACGTTGAATTTGCGAGCACAGAGATATTGGCGCGTGGGACGTGCGCGTGCATGGGTACAGGGCGAATTAATAAATGACGACTTTATACACAGGGCGAAGACTTGAGGTTGATGAGAAGAATGACGATGATGATATCAAAGAGAGCTTCGTACGAATGAATAAAAAATCCTGAAGGAACGTTCCTGGAGTCTCCGTGGCATCCTTCGGGATTCGTCGCCTTGCAGTCACACTAGCGACGTAGTTACTCAAGCACGAAGCTCCCGTCCCGAGGATTCGTTCTCGTCGGTGGTTGGTGCGTTTTTCTCTTTTTCGGCGACGACAAGTTACTCGTTGATTAAGAGCCAGGCTCAATAAGATGATGGGTCGCGAGGGTGAATATCATATGGCGAGAGGTATGAGCTATGGGACTTTGGGTCATCCAGATCGAGTCCTTACGCGAAGGACGCCTTGATTTTGTTTATGGCGTTCGAGAGGTGGAGCATCTCGGTGTTCAACTGAGAGATGAGACCCTCGAGCCTGTCAACGCTGTCCAGGACTTCCACCTGCTGCGTGTGAGGGTCGTACCTAACTTCGAAAGGTCGGTTCATGGTGCTGACCCAGCGACGGAATTTCTCCTTGGCGTCCTCGAAGCTCTCGGCCACGTAGTAGATGGGTTGGTAATCTTGATCCTGATAAGGCTGGACAGCGGTCACGCTTGGCTCGAATGATCGGTGCTCGCACTTGTCGCTCAACGAGTGTAGAAGCTCGCCGTAGGCCGAGAGCAGACCTGCTCCGTAGGCCTTAACCTCTTGACCTTCCTTGCAGAGACCGAACTCCACGGTGAACCAGTAGATGGTCGAAAGCTTCTCGATGTCCTCGTCGGACGCACCCAAGGAAGCCAAACCAATTTCCTGAGAGAACTGAGCGAAGCTCGGATCGGCCAGAAGGGGCATGTGACCCAAGAGCTCGTGGATGCAATCACTGGAAGAGATAAGAAATGATTTTTAGTGAAATTGAATGTAGATTAATTGTCAATGCTTTGGATCTTCTTAGAGGTTCATTGAGTTATGAAGACGAGTTGCCAACTATGGAAGTGAGTTATCAACGCCATCGTGTCGTTAAAAGCCAATTAGAGTTCCATTACAGGTTTAGAGTAGCAAGATAATTTCGTTATTGCTCTCCTGACTCGCTATATAGATATACTTTATGTGTCGGGCTACTGTGCTTCAGGTACCGGATGCTCTCTTGCTACTGGTATAATAATATCGAATGCATGTCTACGGGACCTTTGAAACAAAGGTCATTGATAATTTCATGATCAATTTGATAAAACACCTACGAGATATTTCTACCAGGTCGTATTATCAGCTAGTCTCATCGTTTCGTAGCGATTCTGAATAATACTTACGGTTCTGGTGTATGATAAGGGCTGTTGATGTGACGGACATACTGGGTGCTCTGGAAGATCCTGAAAGCCAAGCTAGACAGGAAGTCCCTGGCAGTCAGTAGCCCAGCTGCAGGACGCAGAGTGAATCCAGTGTTCTTCTTAAGAAAATCGCTGACCTCTTGCAGCTGGGGAATGCGATGGGCCTCGAAGATACGTTCCTCTTTGAGTTTCTGGAAGACTCTCTGGTACTCGACGCAGGCGTGCTTAGGTACCAGTTCCTCGACGGTGCTGAAGACGCGAGACCAGGTAGTATTCTCGGTTTCGGTGTAACGGATGTTGGGGATTGGGTCTCCGTACTTGTAAGCGAAGGCAATCTCGGCGATTGTTTTCCTGCGAGCGCGGTACTCCTTGTCAGCGAATCCAGGGTGGTTCATGTCAAGGTCGGGTTCATATTTGGTCATGAGATGATTGCAGTTGTCCAGCTCGGATGCGTGTCTTGGGAACCAGGGATCCTTGATGCTCATAGAGTTATCAGCTAGCAGAGTGACACCACCGAGACTGGAACTCTGTCTTAGGTTCCTGATCAGCTGGAGAAGGCTCTGCCTAGTCATATCGACCTTGACAAGCACGTCGAATTGAAGACCCTCCTTCTTGGATGGACGCGACTCGACGTGTGTCACGGTACCCTTGAAGTTTTCAACAGTCTTCAAGATGCGACCAAGAGAACCGATCCCTTCGCGCAAACGCAGGACGAGAGCGGCTTTCTGGACGCTGTGTTCGCCTTCCGGAGCCTCGGCGATGGTCTTGGCGAGCACAATTTCTTCCTCGGTAAGACCAGCATCTGTGAGGATCCAAAAAAAAATAATATATGAGAATGACGCAAGACTCTACCAAGGGAAGGTTGGACGTGGTCAGGAAGGTAACAAGGATTCGTAAAATCAGGTAGCACGTTAAGTCCCGGTACGAAGGCTAAGTAATCGCCCAATTGAGAGTCCATTTCCGTTGCTCGTTTCAAGTTTCAAGTAAAGAGCTCAGTGCTCCATGTGAAGGGGGATGGGGTGGCGCAAGAAGTGCCTGTGATTGTCGCGTAGGAGGGTTTTTCCCGCCTGCCACGAGGGTCCAGAAGGAATGGAAAAGAATAACTGTATTATACGCTCAGCGGACCGTTTCAGATATAGAAAGCCTTCCAAAGGACACGTAATACGATTCTAAATGCATAAAGGTTCTCAGGGCCGGCGTAATTCACTCAAGTGCCCGGCACTCGTTCGCTTCACGACAATGGGACCTGTTTCACCCTCCATTTACTCCTTCTCACCTAGTTACCACCACCTACGCTATCGGCTCGACTTCGTGACTTTTGTTGTCACTGCCGACTCTTTCGCATCGACTACCGAAAGAACTTTGCGATATAAAAAGTTGCCTTTTTCACCGAATCCTAAAGTTATCGTCATATTACGTCAGAGCACTCACCGTCATTTTCGAATTTTCCTTCGCCGTCCGATGAGGAAGCTTCGGCCTTGGCTTCTGCAAGTAACAAACTAAGGTTGCAACGAACATGCTCATGCACTGTGACATTGCACAATATCCTAAATGCATTATTCTACTGACCTCCTTCCTTAGCGGCGCAGGCGAGCGTCTCACCCTGTTCATCGTCGCTCGATGAGGCGTCGACGTAGTGTTCTTCGTCTTGGGGCAGTTGCTCCTGACCACACACGATCGCCTGATCGGCACTTGTGTCTGTGCAAACAACATCGATCGTGCAAACTCAAATACGTGCAAACTCAAAATCTTAATTTTTAAATACGATCACATTACAGATTAAACATTCAGGTCAAAGTTCATGCAACATTTGGATAATTCATTGATGAATAACAATCTTACCATTAGCACGCTGGCGTGCTTCCTCAAGTACGCTTTGCTTCGTTTGCTTCACAACCAAAGTTTCAAAGCGGGCGTCGTCCACGAGTGAACGGCGACGGGCTGGATACCCGTTCTGAAAAAATAAAAAAGGTCCTCTTTTACATTCAGAAGAATCTCGATACAATTTTCAATAATTATTCGCTTAATGAGAATCAGATCAGATTATTAATGACAACAATAGGAGGACCAGACAAGCTCAGTTGATTTGTAATGAACGATCGAACTTAGAACGGAAACGACTTCCGTTTCCTTCTGCACCGAAGTTACTTTACGTTCTGCTACTTTTGTGCTCAGGATTCAGTGAGAACTTCAGACCAGCTAAAACCCACTTCTCGTATAAACTTTTCCCTTTGACCAATCGCCTGGTACTGAAGGATCGGAAATGGCTGAGAATGGCGTCGCGTAAGCATAAAGCTCAGCTCGGGGCGGTTGACGTCGGTGAAAGCAAAGAAAAAAAAAACAGGGAAAGTGGCGAACGGGCTAATGTAAATATCGCTGTAGGCACAATGCAACATAACCTATATGTATCTCCATAATTTGCAAAGTCACATTAAACGTGTAGGTAGCTGTACAAAGACTCGCCCGACAGCCTCGAGACTTTTCCTATAATTTAAATTTTAACGTATCGCTTCCCTTAGAATTTTAATTTTTTTTTCAACTTTTTATCACAACCGCCCAACTTCGTTAAGACTGGGAGAGTCGACGGCTATCTGCACGATCCGTTAAAATATCAGCCCATGGCTAATTCTTTGAGGGCATTCACTGCAGTCGTGCAACAAGGGTCAGAAATAAACAAGGAGACCGTGTCTTTTCTCTCTAACGAAGCCGCTGGCACGTATTAGAGAATGTTTAGCAACTTCTTAACGCGTGCTTCAAAGTGGGCCAAGTACTTTACTAGCTAGATAGATGACCGATGAGTGTGCGCCGGTTACATCACGCGGCCGATTATCCATCCCCCTGAATGGTTTAATGGATAAACGAACGGTTAGCGTAATAAAGGAATGGGGCATTTTTGTACTTTAACTTCTATGCATGCCGTGAGAAAGAGTAATGGCGCCTTTCAACCAGACACGAATCCATCTCGATACACCAATGAAATGCATCTGATAGAACGCTTTTATGGAATGCCGCCTTAGTCCTTGAGATATCTTGTGATCCGCGATCTGGTTCAGTTTCTTAGTGCGCAAACAGAAGAAGCGACCTTGTCACGTGACTGTTGTAATTGCACCGGTTCAAAAGTCGATCGGTTTGCTGAGTCGTGATACGAGCACGTAGTGTCGGCTTAGTGTCGAGTCCAGATGAAAAATAATCAATGAATATAGAGAAAAAGTATAAAGGTGGACACACAGTCACATAGAAATATAGTCCTATAATAGCTTCAGAATGTAAAACTTCATTGTTTGCATCGTATCGCTCTACAAATCCTTCTTTAGATGCATCTGTCGGATGATCCTATAGTAACTTTTAGCTCATTCTTTACGTTCATGAAATAGTGTAGTTTCTGCTTGCACCGATAAACGTGAGAATTTACATTGTATCAATTAGCATGTAGGAGATCAATAAAGTCGATTTATAAAGCTGGACCTGAGGCGGTGGCGAGCCTCCAAAGACGTAACGGTCTTCCAGTTCTCAGGGACTTCCATACTTCCATTTTACAATCACTCCGTTCTCATATTTATAACATATTCATAATTATCATGCGAGCAAGGCCGCGGCGATTTCACAATCAAATAGTCATTAGATCCTTACACTAGTTATATCCAATATTACAAGACTCGTGAAAAAACTTCACCTTTATTCACCGCCCGAAATCGCAACAAGGTTATATACTTTTCAAACTGTACTGTTTTCTCGATATATTCAGAAAAAAAAATAGGTACAAGCGCGATCGTTAACGTGAAAATTTCAAGATCAGTACAAAGTAATAGAATTCTTTTTATGAATATTTGTGTTGGTACTCATCGATTTTCAATTTAACGATAACTCCGTGCAATTATAATTTTCAATTTTAAACATTGTCTAAATAATTTATCACTTTCATCAGCTGATTCGTCGTGTCCGATACCTGCGGAAAGCACAGGTCGTTCCCGTTCCCGAAATTTCACCGATTGCCATCGCTTGCATATGTCTACTTTACATACGCGTTACCACGGCTGCCAATAGAATTCGTAATATCTGGAGAAAGTGCCAGACGAGCCTGAACACTTCTTCGGCCTAGTCAGTTAGCCTTACGGTATAGCATCGATAATTTCATAATACATCATATAGTATACTTCAATTTTCACATACTTCCCATATGATAACAGTCCAATGCAATTGCAGTATAATATCTGAATTAAAAAAAAAGCTATCAATCCGCTTAAACTTTAGAAATCAAAAAATGGACATTTCACTGCTGAATCGAATTATATATAATTTGTGCAACACGTACATGTAGAAAATGCTGAAAACGAACGTTCGTAAGAAAGCCATTGTTTAATATAATTTTTCTCCATTTTTTTTAAAAATCCCCACTATCTAGAGAATCATTAGAATCCTTTTTATCACAAGTCTTGAGAATACTCTGGGCTGTACGTACAACCGAGGTCGACAAGAATCCACTGTACACGCAACGTTATGTATTAATTAAGATCGACTTGATCCTCTATCATCCGTTCTATTTATCCGTTTCGAGGTGATTTCAAATGCGAGTTGTGATTAAATTTGTTTTATTCGGGTCAATCAATTAACTCGCAAGGTCAAGCACTTTGTGTAATTCTGATAACCGAACCTGCGTATCCTACAGGTATACTTTCTCTGTGAAAAGAACGATCTTGCGTATCTGCTGTATTACATAGGTAGTGAATGCACGTTCTTGTGTTTACACCGCAAGCGACAAGTCGTCAATTTCACCGGCATCTCTCGTTTTGCTGGATGGACCACGAGAGAAAGAAAGAAAGAAGAAAAGGGAGAAAGAGAAAGAGAAAGAGCTCGGTGCTATTCTCCTGATGTAATTTTTTTCATTCGTTACGAAAGGTACCGGTCGGGCAACGAAAGTCTCACGTAGGAGATGAAAAACGAGAAATCACGCGCTTCTTTCATGGGTCTCGTACGTAGCGCGCGCAACTTAACTTGAAAGATTTTCGAAGATGAAATTTGAATTTTACATACAAGTGCATTGAGATGGGTGATATTTTTTATACTACAGGTATGATCAGCATGGGTGTTTTCAATTAAGCGACAGTTAATATATATATATATGTTAGCGTACGACGTTTGAATCGAATGTAACTTTCGGAAGATCACTTTTGAAAGGGAATCCTCAAGAGAAAGGTGTATGGCACGTAAAGTCATAATTCTCATGAAGGCAGCGACAAGTTGTACGAATTGAGATAATAAAAATCTTTAAAAATAATAACAATAACTCACCTCAATGCTGTAAGATTTCTTGATAGCGAACATCTCGCGGTTCTTCTGGGCAGCAGCGACAGCCATCATAATTTGATATATATCGAGTGTCTCTTCAGTAAGATTTTTCCACGAAGTGATAGCTTCCACAGAGTTCTTCAAGTGCGAAGATCTTTCTCTGATCGTTGAGATTGATTCGTTATCACGGGTCTCAGGGGCCGCTTTGAAGATCTCGAGTAGTCCTTGTGGGTCAGCCTGATGCCTCCTTTATCAATCGAAGGGTTCACTGCTGAACGTGTTCAAAGTTTCTTCGTTCTTTTCGCCGACTTCTCTTACGATTGGACGTAAAAGAGACAATGTCGCGGGTCTAGGAACTCCGTATCTCGATTAACGACCACAAACAGTGACTGGTGCTTGTCTGTCGTATTGTTTCAAAGACTCGAGTTCAAATTACTCCGCGTGCCTTTTGCGAAACTTCGAACGAAATTCGAGCTTGCTTTGGTGAAGCGAACGAGCGAATGCGTCCTCAGGGCGGGTTGCTGCTGCATATAAACGTTGCCTCCCTTCACCGCCATCGCCGGGGTCAGGGGTGCCCCCACTCGTTATTCGGGTGTTCCGCGAGGTCCACCACGCGGCTCTGGTCCTACGTTTCGTAACTGGAATCGCGGCGGCGCCTTCCTCAGCGGCTCCTCTCATTGGCTGAGACACGCGGGAGTTCCCGCATACTGGGGGCACACTTAGTACCAAGTCACTTCTGACTCACTGTTCTTATTGATGTCATAGATATCGGTTATGTCTTATAACGTTATATGGGAACTACCCTCTTGAGTTTCTTTGAAATTTACATTTTTTTCCTGCTTTTCCTCCTCAACTTTTTTTCCTGAAATTCATCAATGTTTCCTTCCGATCAATTGGGACGGAGGCTTTTTTTCTTATTTATGTGGTATATCTAACTCAATAGGTAACTGATCGATCTGCTCTTACTCCTTTTTCCTGTCACCTCCATTGTTCCATCTCTATCACTTCCCTTGGAATCGTTTGAGGCTGCGTTTATTTTCTTCTCTCCGCTTTCAGTGTTTCTCTTTTTACTCATTGTCTTCTGTACTCTGGTTTTTGTGGATATTCGAAGCGGTTGTTACCTCATACCTGATGTAGATTGAAATTTTGATAGCACAGGTACAGATACTTTCGGTAGATTTTTTATAAAAGGGATAAGGATTTTTATGTCATTTTTCTTTGTCAACCTTAATAGTAGTATTATAAGGAAGGGTTGGGATTTATTTATATTGTTGAGTAACGTATTTCTTTTAAAGAATTAAATTTATCATTTGGAATTACCAATAACGGCAATTCTCCGTTATCCTTTATTTCTCGTATCCTACCTAGCGCAGTGAGATACCCACGTATGTGTCTACGTCAGAGCAGCCTCGGGCAGGATCTTGGAAACTCCAAGACGCGTAACGTAAATAGTTCAGATTAGATGGACGTGAAACGCAAAGTCATTCGACATAGCGATTCTGTGATTTCCGGTATATTTTTTAATTTTTAATAGATCATGATATCCCCGACAATACCGGATGTTCCGTTCACAGAAAATACAATCACTCTTGTTTTCCCGCTGAGAAATCATCTCGACGAAAGCTGCACCTACGTCATCTTGTATGGAAAGTCTGAAAAGTCCGACTTGAGTTTCCTTCTAATGACGTAACAGTGCCCAGTGAATCCCACATATTCCAAGAAAACAAGGAACGCTTGATGGTTAAATAAAAAATAATTAATAATGTTTTTCTGGAAACATACCAGCAAGTATTTTGTCTTTGTACACTCATTGCTTGAGGTTCGCCAAGAATTGCGAAATTTCAAGCAGACACGAAACTGGATCTTGATTCGTTCAAATTCTACGTTTATTTATCGTCGAACTTGTAATTTATTTTTGTCTCTATCGAACTGGGTCCAATTACACGTGCTTGTCTTTGACACGTTAATGTATTCCGAGATGCCAAGACTCTGCAGATCCTTTAAGAGACAATGAGGATCAGCATCGGGCGTAAAGCCTTGTTCGTAGAAACTTGGTACTTTCGTGCAGTAACTTATTCTTCGTCGAAGGTACTCGAAGGTCTCAAAGTTCTTTGTTGCGGCCAGTCGCTCGGACGCTAGAGCTTTTGTTCAAGGTCGTTTTTTTTTTTTTTTAATGAAAAAGAAAAAAAGAGGTACTGCAAGTAAATTACTAAATTAGCCTCACTCTCACTTGAGCAACCTCTATCCAGCCTCTAGTCTTCCTTACAACTCGAATATCCTGCGCACATGAAGTTTCTCTAATTAGTCATATATTTTACAGTAATCACATAATCACGCAGTAGCTGTGCCGGTTCCTTCTTAACTCCAAGGTCTACAGAATCAATTTATTTGCACGCGATAATATTACAAAATGCAACAGAGTGACAATGTGAATTACATTGAAATCGTAGAGAACAATTAATAAAGAAATTACTGTTCAAGGATCAAACTTTACGGATCCTTGAAATCAATACAAAATTCCCGAGCATGTAATTCCTTGATATAATTGATTCTTCCGGTATTTTCAGCTATGATATACTCAATCGATACAGACAGTCTACTCTAGACAAGAACTGATCTTACTTTCATGTATCAAGGACTTGGCATGTATAGGTACGTAGATCAAGTGGCACTTGCTTCACGACGGAATAATACAAATCGTATTTAAAGTTCCAGTAAAGTCCTAGTTCTTTGTGATGGAAAAAAAAAATATTAAATAACTATACACTTTAAAATGGCATAATTAATGAATTTCATAATTAATGGGGTAATTCAAACCTTCTTCCTGACAATGTAGCAATCGACGTTTAATCATGATATTTTGAAGGAATACAACGGAAATGATTTCCTCGGAATAAGGAAGAAAAAAAAAGTATTAAAGCATGGAAACCACCGAGTCGCGGTTTGTACAAATTACACACGTCATTGGGAAGAACGAACGAGAGAGGCGATACGAGGAAGCACCTTACGATGTATGAAATTCCGTGGAGATTCTTTAAAATTCGGAATTCCTATACTGAATCAATATATAAATTAAACATCCAACATCGTTAATCGGTCTTTAATATCTCTTGTCAAATTGACAGTCTTGTCATCGATAAAACGTAACGTGACGTCCACTTCATTTCATAACATTAATTGCTAAGAAAGATCGCGGAAGCATTCCAAAGGTCGCTACAGGTAGTTACAAACGTAATCATGCACCTGTAAGATGCAGAAAATACGTCAATAGTTACAAGCGTACAAGGATCCATGGTCTTGTGACTATAGCTATATGCAAGTACCGTCTCAATACAAAACTGATACGTAACGTTAGTCCAGTAATCAGACTTCGTCGTCCACTTGGAATATGGCTGCATTAGATTTCTTTCTTTTCCAGTCTCCTTTCCAGCCGCTGTGTCAAATACTATACGATATTGGAAACCTCGTAATTGCATGGGAAAGTGATCGTTTCATGGCCGATATATTAAGTCGAATCGACTGCCTGGCGATTATCGTATCTAATGAGACAGGAGATTAACGTTAAAGTTACATATAGGTTCGGTATACCCACGCATACATATATCGTATAGGAGTCCACAGGTAAGTATTTCGTGAAGTTTATATGTCAAAGGGAAATATTTGAAAATACTAAACTCAAATAGTCTATATACTAATAGCACGCGAATTCGATCGATTATTACATATGATCGTTGTTACACATATTTATACTGCTTGTCCGGTAATACGTGGGAATTTACTAGTAAGTCATTCGTCATAGGGTAATAAACTAATGTGATTTGAAATATATCGAGATCGTGATAACCAAAGGCAATAATTATACCTCGTTGAATCCTTACAGCTGTATCGCTGCGTTTCCGCATTGATTTTCATCAAGGTTTTCTGTATGGAAATCGATACGAACTGCATATCCCTTTCCTAATCCTTGATCGATCGATCTTAATTTATTGATATCTACGAAAATCTTATTAAAGTGGGACAAACAAGTGTTTCCTGTGTAATATGATTTACGGCGTGTATTTAATATGGTGACACTACTTCCTGTTTTTGTCCTTCCACGGATACTTGGTGCGCTACCTGCGATTTCTGGGATATTAATAAGAGCTCTATTAATTGACAATAAACGGAACTATTTAAATTATAGAATATTAACTCGAGTCACTTGGTAGCAACAAGTGTACAGACAGATACCCATATCCTGTTACGATTAAGCGCAAGCGTTTCTGCCACTGGAATACCGATTCTGATTCTAATTATCCACCAATGCTAATATCCTCACAATAAGTTATACAATAGGCCGATAATTATTTCCTAGATGCAAATCAATCAATTAAAAAAACCTTGAGCGAGCTAGTATTTCATAGGCACGTGGGGGCTCGATTATGATAATCATCCGGTAATAAAGTTGTCTAACGTCTTGATCTTTTTAATTGCCAATACGGTGCATCCGTACGATCATATTGGTTCGCGTTTATCAATTAAAAAAAAATAATACTATCAACAATGTACTTTTTTTCTCATCGTACCTGTACGACTCATGCGAAAACACTGAATACACGTAACAGTTTGTTAAACGTGATATTCCTCCATAGGAATATATTTGCAAATCAATGTTTAACACGTCCATTGCCAATCTATCATTGTTCTCAGTCTGCTGAACAAAAATTGCAATTCGTACAGTCGCAAAAAGTGAATGGACCAAATCAAACTTGTACCTTTCAAATATTAATAAACAATATATCCGTGCTCAGGATTATCCGTGTTAAACTATATAGGGCTATGAGTCATAATTTTAATTAGTCCAAGAATAGTGACGTCAATTCCAAGTTTTTTCATTGTAATCAAAAAATTATCGTATTTTAATCTGTGACACTAAAGGGAACAACGTTACATACATCGCGGGGATATATATATATATATATATATATATATACTATATACACATAGAAAAATGTTAACATTTTTTTTCGAAATCTTCTCATCCAATTATTTCTTTACGCAGCATCCTCTTCCTCGTACACAAGACTCTTTTTTAAAGACGAGAATCCGCAAGTCCAATCACGTATCTAATCACATTGTTTTCTCTTAAATTGTGAATAAGCGTGCTAAATATGTGTACTAGTACTGAAATACCATTCTATGGATATGTACTCGTGCACGGGAGATAACTGGATATCGGTGAGACAGAAAGCAATTTGGCCTCGGCTGGTACCAAATCAAGGACCAATTTCCATCTGGAGACAGGCAGATCATATTATGACCTCTCGACGAATCTAAGATGAAGGATAGATTCGAGTGGCGGTATAAGAGAGAATTACTGGACTCTGTGTGATACCTGCCAAAAAATTCAGGAACAGTCCACCCAATGTATTGTGTAGTTCGATATAGGTTACGTTTGACCAGGTACATTTTGAAAATTGGCATCACTGGTCGATATTTCCTACAACATTGTTTACCCAATTTCCTAGTAAACGCAATAACTTCCATATATTG